CAGGATGGGCAGCGTCGGCGGGACATAGGCTGCTATCGACTGCAGAAAGGCGGCGCTGGGCTGCAGGCAGGGAGAGATGGGGGTAGGAGAGGGAAGACGGAGGAGAAGGTGAGGGTTGAGAGGGAGTAGGTGGGTGAGAGAGGGAGCGGGGGAGAGGAGAGGGGAGAGGGCGGGCGAGGGCGAGAGGGTTGCGAATGGAACTCTGTTGAAGGGGCGTTTTGTCATCACATTTATCGTGCCCAGCTTCTTGAGTCTGACTCAGGACGAGGTTTGAGTCTGACTCAGGACGAGGTTTGAGTCTGACTCAGGACCTGGAACTCTTTCAGAGTGCGTTGTGCGTAATCATCTCCATCATGCCCAGCTTCAGCCCCTTGCTGACCATGGGTTGACTGTCCTGAGTGTTGGATTAAGAGTCGCAATTTCAGGATACATGTTTCCCCCTAACCTACCGCACCTGCGCGGGGATGGCGTGGATGGCATACTGCGCGTATTTAGTCCGCATAAACACACCTACCCCCGAATCTCCCCCCTCCCACCCAATCTTCCTCTTCCCCCGCACCGCACCTGCACGGGGATGGCGTGGAGGGCGAACTGCGCGCCCGAGATGGCCCTAAACATATTTCCCCGCCATTTCTCGTTTCCCATATCTCCTCCTCTCCCCTTCCCCACCCCTTTACCTGCACGGGGATGGCGTGGAGGGCGTACTGCGCGCCCGTGATGGCCTCCCTGGGGTCCGTGGTGGCGCGCACGTTGTTGGGGAGAATGATGCCCGGATGGCACGCGCTGAGAGGGAGAAGGAAGGGGAGAAGGAAAGGAAGAGGGAGAGGGGGGGGAATGAGATGCAAGGGCGGATGGTCGGTGGCGCGCATGTTGTCGGGCAGGACGACGCCTGCTGGGGGGCGGGAAAGAGGGAGGGAGGAAAAGAGAGGATGAGAGATGCTCGGGAAATGAACGGACGGGCAAGCCAGCCAGACGAAGGCGAGCAGACAATGAACGAGAGAGCTAGCCAGTGATCCGTAGCAGGCACGCATCGTGGATTGAGTAGAGACGTCTCGAATCTCACAACTCAATAACGAAGGGCCAGTTCGCGGGGCGCAGCAGGCAGGCATTGCACACGCCGCAGACCATCCTCAGAGCACGGGGGACGCGTGGACGGTGAGATGGGTCTTGTTGAGCGAGCTGGTGGAGATGGTTGAAATGCGCATTCATTTGTACCTGTTACAGTGCAGCTCGTTAATGTTCTTGCAGTCCTCCTCGAAGCGGTGTAGAATCACCACGTCCAGCTCCGCATTGTTCCGCGCCAGCATGTGCGCCAGCGCCGTCCCGAACGCCCCCCCGCCGAAGATAACGACCTGGCGGAGAAAGCATGCGTGGAGACGAAACGAAGTGGAATCAGGAAAAACGGTGGCAGAAGAGAGGGTAGGGTTGGGGGGGAAACGGGGGGAAAGGGGATGTGGAGAAGCAGAACGAGGGAGAGGAAGCAGCAAGTTCGGAACTTACAAAAAGGAGTCAAAGGCTCGAAGACCGTATTGTGGGCGCGGGCAAGTAAGCAGTAAGCTGTTAAGAATCACAGTAAGTGTTTCACACTCTGTCTCACACACTTAAAACCAGGTGTGACTTTTTCCACACGGCATATAGATGGCGCTGATCTGACGTGGCATATTCTGAGGGAGCCACAACAATGAACTTCTTCTGAATGCCCCGAAATGTGTTAATGCCCTACACACCTCTTCGGTCTCTTTCAAAACGATTCCACACTTTGTTTCTTCTTCAGGCCGTTCACAGCCTAGTAGATTTCTTACTCCCCAGCAAGCTTCACGCATCAAACGTTCCGTACTTTCCGCATTTTCGAAATAAATCGTAGAAACAGTAACAGTGAAATCACAAGCAAACTTTCAACGTCTAACTTCGTCTTAGAGCGCAACATTTTCGTGGATTCAAAAGTCGGAGGAGGACCTTCAAGACCTGTCTTTTGCAAAAGAAGTTTAATACATAGGAGACATGCCTGTATTGGTTACATTCTAAAACGACGACGAACTCTCACCTTGGTGGTTTCCTCGTCGGCGTTACTGGTTTCCTCCACCCGCCAGAACTTGCCTCACCGCATGAGCGCCTCCCACGCGTTCATCAGCGCGCCGAGCGGAATGTTCGCCGCAGCCTTTTGAGGCGCCTCAAAACACACTTCACACATTGGAGGTTAGATTCATGACTGTATCTTACCTTGGTGGTCTCCTCGTCAGCGCCGTTGGTTTCCTTCCCTCGCCAGAACTTGCCCCACCGCATGAGCGCCTCCCACGCGTTCTCGACCTCCGTGGCCTCCGCTTCGTTCATCAGCGCGCCGACCGAAATGTTTGCCGAAGCCTTCTCCTTGTCCTGGGCGATCGAAGCGGAGTCCGGCCGGTTCGTCGCGCCTGCGCTCACCACGTGAGATATCCGTTGCTCAGGCGAGGAGGAGAACGAAGAGGAGGAGGACGACGGCGAGGGGGAAGAGGAGGAGCCGTGCTGCTGTTTATGCTGGCGGTCTCCCGTGCCTGCCGCTCCATGGCGGCCGGCACTTGCGCTGACATTGACGCGACCGGTTCTCCTGTTCGTCCGTCTTTTGTTGATTGGTAACACATTCAGTCGCTCAGATTCTGAGTAGACTTGGTTCGATGAGCTTGGTAGTAGTTGCAAGCTGCACTTCTGGAAGGAAGTCGCCGGTTTTGGGACTGTGACACGGGATTGCTGATGCAAAGCTCCTGGTAACGCATTTGCAGAAAGAATCACAGCTGCACGCGCTGTTCCGGTCTCCATCTCGGATGTCGATTGTGAAGGTTTTAGAAAAATCCGAATCAAAGGCAGACTTGAAAGTTCTCGGTAACTATATGTAGGAATGTGGGTGAATGTTTGAGTCTACCGTGGACAAGCGTCCGTCTCGAGAGTCACTTGTGAAGTCGCCTGGATTGAGAATGACTTGAGCCTGCTGCGAGATTCTAGAATCCGACGAGCTGCACGGGCTTTTAGTTCCTGCTTGACTTACAGTTGGTCAGTCCTGAGAAATCTGCTTCAGTCTGGACGATATTTACAATCTCACGAGCAGTCATTCAACAGCAAGACTTTCTCGGGACCTCCGTCTTTCTCAGGTACGTACTCTCCAAGTCGAGACCAGTAGAATAGACACAGTTGATGATGATATTGATTGAGCCTGAATTCACTGGGTGATCCATTCTCCTAGTGGCTGGTTCAGATCTTCGGCATTCCCAAGGACCTCTGATTAGTGTTCTGCTGGATAGGTGACGATGCTTCACGGCCTGCATAGCGAAACAGTTGACGAGTGTCGTTGAGCTGGTTGTCCGTGAAGAGCATTGTGAAAACCGCTGGCGATGGAGCTTGATGTGTAACAAGTTGCGCCTCGCTGTCAACCACCTGCGTCCAATAACAGGCCTGACGATGCCACCTCAGATCGGATCGAGGCGCAAATCACAAGTCAATAAGGTCAGGACACCTGTTATCGTGATTGGTCTCAGGATGAGGCTTGCCCAGGCGCTGCGGGGAGGGAAAGGTGCCGAATTCACGGCGAAAAAGGCAATCCGATTTGCCGAGTGTGCGAAGCTTCCCGTGCTGGATAGCCAACCACGTGTGTACCTACGTGGCTCCAGTAGTCAAAAGCCGCCTTCTTACAACCTGCGCGAAATGTCCGGAGAGGTTACCAAGGCACGTGAAACCGCCAGCAATGCGAACTGTAGTGCGATCCCACCCGTTTAAATCCAAGCTCGCGAACAGCGAACGTATGCAATGGAAACGTTAACCTTTATCTGTGTACACAATCATACACCCACCTCTAACGAGTGTGCTACAATGAAGGTTTAGACTGTGGTGGAATTCAGTAGCACCTGTCGACAAAGCACCATATATACGCCACGTGGTGATCATGAGCACAAGTAGACAGGTCACTGATCACCGACTTAGATGCAGCACAGCGTTCCTCACACCGCATTTCCCAGCCCTCTAAACGGGCGACAGATTCTCCGATGGCCAATATGGTGCGACGCGGGAATTCAGGCTCGCAGGCTTGCTCCAAATACGTTTCCTCGTTTCATGACACTCATTCCTTTTCTTCAGTTTCCGATCGCTCGATAATATTTCTGCAAGCATATCCGAGATTCTCGACACACCTCTATCAGCTATTGCTTGCTACATCACAGCATAGTACGCAGCGTGTCCGACGACCTTTCGCGAATCTAAACCCTATGGCGTCCCAGCAGCAACAGCGATTCGAAGTGAAGGTTTCTGGCCAGGCATGGACCGCTTTCGCCCTCGCTCTTTCACTCTCCCTCTTTCGCTCCCGCGATTATTATGGTCCCGCCTTCCCTGTGCCGTCTGCATCTTTCCTCGGTCGAGCCCCCTCTCCATCCCGCTTTCTTTCCCCCTCGTGTGGTTTAGAACCTCCTGTTTCAACTTACGCTGTGACAACTGTAACAACTTTGCTCTCTCGTGCCTCTCCCTCTTGCTTTCGTGCAGGGTGAAGGCCAGGCCCAGGAACCCAAGATGGTGGCTTCAGGGACGATTCAACCTGAGTCAACGGAGATGTTCTCTGGTCAACCCAGTCAGCCGTATGGTCAGCAGTACGGTCAACCCAGTCAGACGTACGGTCATCCCAGTCAGCAGTACGGTCAACTTGGTCAACAGTATCGTCAGCCATACAGTCAGCCGTACGCTCAGCCGTTCCACCCGTCTGGCGAGGAAGAGCTGCCTCTTCACGCAGGCGGAGCTATGCGGTCGCACGGAACGCCACATGTAACGCCACATGTAACGCCATATGTAACGCCACGTGAAACGGCACATGAAACGGCAGCAGGCGGAGGGCGAGGCACGGGAGTCGGAGTGACCCCACATGACACGTCCCCAACCATCAGGTTTGTTTTCTCGCATGGGTGCTCACTGCTGCGGTCAGCCCTGGTACGCTGCGGTATGCTGTGGTCTGCTTTGGTACGCTGCAGTGTGCTGTGGTCGGCTCTGGTATGCATCGGTTTGCTGTGGTCAGCTCTGGTGTGTTGCGGTTTGCAGCTGTCGGCTCTGATTTGCTGTGGTGAGCTATGGCGTGCTGCAGTTTGCTGCGGTCAGTTTTGGTATGCTGCGGTATGCAGTGGTCAGCTATGGTTTGGTATGCTGCATCACGCCCTGTATGCTGCATCACGCCCTGTATGCTGCATCACGCCCTGTATGCTGCATCACGTCCTGTATGCTGCTGTAAATCCTGCTGGTGTTCCTTCTCTGCTTCCCCTCCCGGTTTCTCCCTTCCCCGCTTCCAGACTGTACTTCTGCTCCCCTCACTTCCTGCCAACCATTCCCAAGCCCACTGGGATACCCGAGGAAGTCTCAAGCACGCATGGGCTAGAGAGGAGCCCCGAAATGAGAAGGCATGGCCCGAGATGGTATAGTCGAACACAAAATTTCCCTCTTTGACTGCTATTTTCCCCTCCCACTGTCTTCCCAACCATGTCTAGCCCCACTGGGATGCCTGAGGACGTGTCTCTCACGCATGGGCTAGAGAGGAGCCCGGAATTCGGGAGGCGTGGGCCAGGGATCAGCCCAGAGATTGGGACGCATGGGCAGGAAGTTAGCTCGGAAATTGGAAAGCGTGGGCCTGGGCGTGGATATGCGGCATTAGCTGAGGAGGAGTCTGGGCCGGGATGGGCGCAAGGACAGGGCGTGAGGGGCATTGGGGAGGGAGGGGTGGGGACTGGACGGGCCGGTAGCGGCGTGGGGGCGGTTGAGCGGGCGTTGGCGGAAATGGAAGGGAAAGGTGCGCCGACAGGGGAAGATGTGCCTGCAGGGGAACGTGGGGGGGTGATGGGAAGAGGTGTAATGGAAGGTCGTGGAATGGAGGGGCGTGGAATTAGGGATGTTGGGACAGAGCAGCGTGGGATGGGAAGCAGTGGGATGGGTCAGACCATTGGGGTTGGGCAGTTTGAGCATGGGAGCGAGAGGGCGAGGGAGGTGGCAGAGGAAGGGGAGGGTGTTTTGAAGGGTGCGTATGGGCAGGTGAAGGTAGGTGTGGGGAAGGCTGTGGAGGGGGCTGAAGGGCTGGTGACTAAAACGGGCGAGCAGGGCATGAGGATGGGGCAGGGTGTGATTGAAACGGGGGAGAGTATGGCGAAGATGGGCCTGAGTGCTGCTGAGCGGGCTGCTGAGACAGGAGTGGGTGTGGCGAAGGGGGTTGCGGGTACAGGGTGTAGGGTTGCTGAGAGCGCCTTCGAAACTGGGAAGGGGTTAGGGGAGAAGGCTGTAGAGGCAGGGAAGGAGGTGGGGGGGAGGGTGGTGGAAACGGCAGGGAGGTGGGTTCCTGGAATGCCGTTTGGGGAGCAGGGAGAGGAGAGGACAGGAGAGGCGTTTGAGAGGGGGAGGGAAACTGTTCGGAGTGTAGGAGAGAGGGTGGAAGAAGGGGTGAGAGGGGTGGTTGGGAGCGGTGTTAGGACTGCTGAGACTGCTGGGAGGTGGGTGACGGGCGTGGGAAGGCCAGGTGTGAGTGAGGAGGGGAGAGGCGGGGTGAGTGGAGGGAAAGCTTGTGTGAGTGAAATGGGTGGTGCTGGTGGGGAGGGGTTGGAGGAGGGGGCATATGAGAGGGGCAAGGAGGCTGTGAAGGGAGGGCTGGGACAGGTGGCGAGGCAGGTGAGGGGTGTAGCTGGCATGGGCACTGCTAGTGAGGCTGCTGGTGGGGAGAGTGGGTGGGGAGGGGCAGGTGAGCGGGGTGAGCAGGCCGAGCGTGAAATGCGGGCTAAGGAGCAAGAACTCCCCCAATCCGGCCGTCCGGAAATGACAGCAACAACAGGGAAAGACACGCTCCCGCAGAAAGCCTACCAAGCAGCACAGGAGGGGGCGGAAATCACGAGGCAGCAAGCAGGGGAGATGGCTGGTCAAGCAGGAGAGATGGCCGGTCAAGCAGGGGAGGTGGCTGGTCGTGTGCCGGAGAAAGGAAAGGAGCTGGGGGAAAAGGCGCTAGAGGTGGTGCAGGAAGCAGGCCAGGTGGGGATGCAGCAAGCTAAGGAGGCTGGTTCGGTTGCTAGCCAGGTGATTCATCAGGCGTACCGCAAGTGGATGGGTGCTGTGGAGGAGGAGGGCGATGAGGAGGAGGAAGAGGAGGGGAAGGGAGTGGGAATGGGAGGTGTGGGGGCGGCAGGAGAGGGAGGAGGGGCTTCTATGGAGGGAGTGACAGGAATGCTTGCAGCTGGGTAAGAATTCTCTGTGTTGATTGCAGAGGGAGTGGCGTGTATGACCTCCTTCCGTTCCATATACCTCTACTCCTTCCGTTTCACTTTTTTCTTCTGTTTTACGGACGTGAAATTGCACTGTACATTTGATTAGATTCATACTGACGTGTGAGTTTTCCTTTTGCTTACCACCACTACCCACACCAGGTACCGCCAGGCCAAGCAGGCAGCGCAGGCAGGGCTGCAGTCAGGGCAGCAGCTAGCTGGCGGGGCAGTGCAGCAGGCGAAGCACATCGCTGCGCCTGTGATCCCAGGCCTAGAGTCATCCACAACTTCAGGGGCAGGAGGCTCGGCAGTGCAAACCCGTGTAGCTGCTGCTGCTGGCCCTGGTGCTGCTGGTGCTGCTGGTGCTGCTGGTGCTGCTGGTGCTGCTGCTGGTGCTGGTGGTGCTGGTGGTGCTGGTGCTGCTGCTGGTGCTGGTGGTGCGGGTGGTGCGGGTGCTTGGGGTGAGGGGGGTGTGGTGGAGCGAGGGGGTAAGGCGTTTGAGGCAGGAAAGGAGTACGTGAAACGGACCCTCGGAGGGATTGCAGGAGGAACAGGGGAGGAGAGAGGAGCAGAAGCAGGGGAAATGACCGGCACTGGCATGCAGGTATGATATTCAATGACCACTGGCTCATGCTTCTGAATTCTCAGTTTTTGCCTCTGAACTGACAGCAAACGTCTGGGGGTGGTTGGTTGGTTGGATGGTCATGTTGTGCCCGCTGGGTCCATGCAGGGTCAGGGACTTTCGGAAGGAGTGGTAGGCAGCCTGCAGCAAGGGTAAGTAACAATTCGCACTTACACGACTCTTGTTACAATTTTTTAGCATAGAGAGTTGTAGCATAGCATGGCAATTTCCTAAATGCCCACTCTGCTTCCATGCTTCGGCCTGCCTGCCCAGTTCTTCAGTTCCTTCACGTTAACCAGTCTCTCCTTCCCTCCTTTCCGCCTACCAGGTATCGCCAGGCGAGGGATGTAGCACAAGCAGGGCTGCAGTCAGGGCAGCAGGTGGCAGGAGGGGTGGTGCAGCAGGCGAAGCACCTCGTTTCTCCCATCCTCCCTGGTGGGGCAAGTGGTACGGGAGAAGGAACTGGTTCGACTGGTGTGATGGGGCGAGAGGGAGGTGCAGAGCGGGAGGAGCGTGGGCAGCAGCTAGGTGGTGGGGTAGTGCAGCAAATGAAGCACCTCGTTTCTCCCATCCTCCCTGGTGGGGCCAGTGGAATGGGTGTGAGTGGTGTAATGGGGCGAGGAACAGGTGAGGAGCGTGAGCAGCGGGAGGCGTGTGCATATGAAGCAGGAACACCTGCAGGAGTAGGAGCAGGAACACCTGCAGGAGTTGAAACTGGAGATCAAACGGGGGTTGAAACTCGGTCTGCTGGTGCTGGTATCCCGGGGGCAGGGCTCGTGACGGGTGTTGCTGACGTGGCACAGCGGTTTGTGGGGACTACTGCAGATACGGCAAGAGGTATGGCAGGAACATTAGGAGATATGACAAGCAGGACGGTGGGAGCCACAACGGAAACAGCGAGAGGTGTGGTTGGGAAGATGGTGGGGATGGGGGAGGAGGTGGCTGGAAGGGGGTATGGAGCGGTTGAGGGGACGGTTGGAGGGGTGGTGCAGGGTGTGAGGCGGATGACTGGGCTAGGAGGAGAGGGGGGGGAGGTGGAGGGGGCGATGGGGAGGGAGGGAGTGGGCATGGGCGAGGGTGGGATAGAGGGGGTGGGTAGGGGAGAGGGTGGGAGGGAGGGTGTTATGGGTACAGTTAAGGGTGTTGGGGAGCAAGTGAAACATTTGGTGCTGGGAGGAGAGGAAGGTGGGATGATGGAGGAAGGTGGGATGATGGAGCAGATGGAGCGAGAGAGGGAGGAGGAGAGTCCGAGGGAGAGGGGTAGAAAGCAGGCGTATGCGGTTCTGCACGGTGCAGAGGAGTGGGTGGAGGGGACTGTGAGCCGTGTGGCTGGGGTGCTGACTGGGGGACTGCTGGGGGGGAAGGGGCATGGGGAGAGGGCAGGGGTCGGTGCGGCTGGTACTGAGGAGATGAGGGAGAGGGAAGGTGGGGAGGGAATGGGGACGAAGATGCAGGGATTTGTGCAGGGCGGAGGTATGGGGGGAGAGATGGGGGAAGGCGTGGGGGGAAGGGGAAGGGGAGTTACTGGGGGTGGGGTGGGGGTAGAGGAGGAAGTTTCTGGGAAGCCTGTGGAGGCGAGCAAGGGAATTTTGGGCAGTGCAGTAGGGGCAGTGCAGAGCGTGGTGGGAGGTACTGCTGACGTGGCTAAGCATGCTGCTGAGTCAGCACTGGGAGCGACCAAGGCTGTGGGGGGAGCAGTGGTGGGGGCTGGGGGGAGTGCGCTGGGGATGGGGCAGAGGGGGGTGCAGCAGGGGGTTGAAGGGGTGGGGAGTGGTATTGAGTATGGAAAGGAGAGCCTGGCGACAGGGTATGAGGGAGCAAAGCAGGGTGTGCAGAGTGGATATGAAGGGGTGAAGCACGGTGTGCAGAGTGGATATGAAGGGGCGACTGGGGGAGTGACAGGGCTGGTGGAACGGGCGAAGCACCTGGTGGGGTTTGGAGGGGCGCACGGTGAAAAGGGGGTGGAAGAGGGAATGGGTGAGACAATGGGGGAGGTGATGGGAGGTAGGGGAACGGAGGAGGAGGAGAGTGCTGCGGAGAAGGGCAGGCATGCTGTGCTGTCAGTGCTGGAAGGAGCAGAGAGGAGGGTGCTGGGCGCTGTTAGCACTGTCACTGGAGGGCTCATTGGTGGGGGAGGGGGTGAGCATGCAGGGGGGGAGCGAGCCTCTGCTACTGGTGTTGGTAGTGTTCGCACTGCTGCTGGTGCTGGTGCTGGTGGTGGTGGTGGGAGTGGGGGCGTGGCAAGGCAGGGGGCAGCAGCAGGGATGCCTATGTCTGCAGCAGGGGAGGGGGAGGCAGGAGCAGTGATGGCTGGGCCAGGGGGGAAGGTGGCAGCAGTGGGGCGACCGGAAGCAGTGGAGGAGGCAGCACGGCCGGTCATGGAGCCAGGCGCGTGATGTGAGGTGACTATAAGGAGGGGATGTGGATGGAGATGGGAAAAACAACAGGTCAGGGGTTTTCCTCCTGTTAAAGGTTTTCTACCGTTGTGATGGTACTGACATTTGATGGGCTGTTGTGTTTGTTCATGCATCCACAGGGGTGTGGTGGTCTGCCACAGGGATTTTGAAGAGCCTCTCCAGCCGCCTGTAAGACCAGACCGAAGGCCATCACGTGATGTGCAGGTGTAAATGTTGTAGTGTAAATTTGTATATTTTTCTGTTTCTAGTTTGGTGGTACCTTCTTGTTCCCAGTTTTCTTAGCAAACTATGCTATCGAATGCTCTCACCATTTATGTCATGTGAACACAATATATCAAATCGGTTACTGTTTTTGTAAAATATGCAACAAATGGAAGTCAGGAAAATGACGTATGTGTCACTATCGAGCACTTGTGGCGACAACGAATCCTGACTCTCTGTTGGCGTCTTCGCTTTCGTCGATACATACCATTAGCCAGCTTCCGTCCAGTACTGGTCAGTGGCAAAGTTTGTCTGTGGTGGGGACCACGGCGGTCAATGGTCAATGGCCAGCGGAGCCTTCTGTTTCTTGTGGCTTCCTTCCTTCCCTCCCTTGATCACATCCTCGTTTGAGCGTTGTTTCCATCAACGGTGTTGGTCTGTCGTAATGCATCGAACCAAATACAACCACGGACAAACCGCTCTAAACGCTAGTCTGCCACACTCAACACCCCGTTGCGATACGTTAAAGCGTGGTATGGTCTGTTGGCGGCTCGAGCACACCCCTGAGCACTCATCACCACTGTGAGGGCTTTTCAGACGATTCCATGACGTGATTCAGAACGGCAAGCATCGAACCACTTCTCTCCTCCCCATCCCAAGCATGTCTAATGTGCACCGCACCATGCTGTGGTGTAGCCATCTGAACATCATTTCGTAGGTCTACTTTTCGCTAGCCATTCTTCTCGCAGTCCACACATTTCTGCATCCCGCAGTTAGTTGTCAACGTAGGATTCGTCGTTGTAGATTACTGAAACGGACTGGATTTCGGATTGCTGTGCTTCTGTACTAGGTATGTACAACTCGGTAATTATCTCTTCATAATTCCAGGTTTGGATGGATAATAACCAACCCCAAGTCATGACGGTAGCGTATCTCATGAAGCCCTCAGTCGACCAGCCGTCAATGAACCAATCGTCAATGGACGAACCGTCAATAGGCCAGCCGTCAATGGACGAATCGCGTAAGCTTTCCAGACGTTCGCAATCGTTAGGTAGCGCAATGAGCGGCGAGCGGACAGCGATGGCGCAGAGTCCACCGAACGCGGAGGCAACCGGGACTGGGTTCCGCCATCGTTCCCTTTCCGCAAGCTCTCGCGGCTTTCCCGCAATTCGAATCCTCATTCCCGCTGACGAGGACGACGACGCATGCGACGACACGCGGTGCGACGACACTCCGTGCGACGACTCGTGCGACCGAGCCAGCGATGATGTCGCGACGCCGCCCCACTCCGTTCAAGCCGCCCCATTTCCCATGCCACGTGGCAACTCCGTAGAGGTTGACCGCCTGTGGGAGGTCCACGCGTCGCCGTGCGAATCAAAATCGACTGGGGAAACGACAAATCGGCGCCAGGAACGACTAGGGGGGGCTGGGAAAGGGGAGAAGACAGCGCGGAATGCGGAAGGAGCGGCCTCTTCCGCCCGCGCGCCGAAACAGTCTCCGCTGGGTTCCGCCAACGGGTTTGCGCGCATGCTGCTGCAGTGGGCGCCTTCGTCGGCGCGTAGCAGCCGCCGCAAGAAACGCGGCGATTCTGCGACCTTTGGTTTTCCGGCGCCCCGGTCCCAAAGCGTTGTCCAATCATCGCAAAGCCAGCACGTTGCTGACGTCAGCTCGGAGCTGAACCGTGACGCGTCAGCTCGCGCGTCGGAATCAGCTTCCGCGGTTTGTCCGGGGGCTGAACAAGCAGAGGAGCCGCCGCGCGAGTTTTCCGCCCGTCCGCGCACGGCACCAACCGGAATCTTCAGCCGGTGGCGCTCCGCCGCGCCGCTTTCCCGCCCGAAATCTCCGCTGTTCGGCCTGACGTACATGGGAGCATCGGCGCGACGGGGAGTAAGCGGCGATGCGTTGCCCGAAGGGAACGAGCTGAGCGATTCGGGCGATGCAGCGGCATCGGCGGACCCGAATAACGGAGCAGCCTATAGCGGAGACAAGCTCCGCTCGATATTCGCGCAGGGGACGCGCTTTTCGGTTGCTAGTGAGCGGCCGTGGAGCAGCGGAGGGTGGGGCGCGACGGACGGGGCGTGGCGGACAGGGGGTGGCGGAGGGTGGGATGTGGCGGACGGGGCGGGGGAAAGCGTTTCGGAGCGCGGAGACGCGGAGAGGGAGGATATAGAGCGGCGGGTTTCGTACAGTAGCAGCACTGCGGGCGCGGCTGGTAGTGTAGTTAGCAGCAGCACTGCGGCCTATACTGAAACTGCTTATAGCGAGACGCTGATCATCCAGCACACGGATCGTGATACGGGCTGCGAGAGTGTGACGTCAGCGTCTAGCTGCAGCGGGTACGACGCGCTTGCGTGGGGGGGGAGCGCGCCGATGGGCGGAGGAAATGCGCAAATGGGCGGAGAGAACGCGCCACTGGGCGGAGGGAACGCGGTGATCGGCGGAGAAAACGCACTGACGGGAGACGAAAGCGCGCTGATAGGGGGGAGAAATGCGCGGCTGGGGGAAACCCTTGCGGATGGGGGCGGCGGAGACTTCGCGACCCTCTGGCGGAGCCTCCCCCGCGACCTGCGGCGCACGCGGTCGCTGCAGAGCCCGCGGGGGTATCCCGGGGGGGATGCGGGGGGAGGTTTTGGGGGGGAATCGAGGGGGAATGGCGGACACGTGGCGAATGGCAGCAGCAGGTCCGCGGAGGGCGAGGATCAGGGCAGCTACGTTCAACAGGGCAGCATGCGACGAATGGGTAGCGCAGAGATGTTACCAGCTGTAGCGCATGGGTCATTTGTTCCGGCTGTAACGGGCGCAGCTGGCGCAGGCCCGCTCACCCCCTCCGCGCACACCCCCGCGGATCTCCCCCCCACGTCCCCGCGGTCTGCTGGCGGCGCCGCGTGGGTGGTGAGCGTGCCGTCGTTCGCGCAGCACCGCCTGCGCGTGGCCTCCGCGGAGAGGGCCGCGCGCGGAGGGGGCGAGGGGCGCGGAGCGGGCGAGGGGCGGGGAGGGGGCGAGGTAAGGATGGCAGACCAGGATTCGCAGGACCAGCAGCAGCAACAGCCGTTGCCGCCGAGGGCGCACAGGCGAACGCGCAGCCTGCATGCAGGCGACATGGAGTGGATGCGACTGGAGCAGATCGGCGAGTTCACCATCCCCTCCTTCCACCACCACTCCCCCGCTTTCCACCACTCGCCTTCCACTCTCCGACACGCCCTCCACTCCCCGTCCGCGCCCCTCCTTCAATCTCGTCCGTCCCCTTCCGTGCTATGCCGCTCCGCCTCGCTTCAATCTCGCCTCCGCTCCCCCTGCTCCCCCCGCCTGCCTCCCCTTTCTCCCAGAATTGCCGCTGGACCCTCGTCCGTGCGGCACCGAACCGCACAGCACCCAACTGCACCGGACCCAACTGCACCGCACCCATCAGCATCTTACCGATTCCCCAAATCACAGAGCCTATGCTCGCCTTCCTCTTCCTCGTCCTCTTCCATTCGCGTTTCAGCTCCTCCGTTACCACATCGGCCGCCCGTGTGTTCCCCATCCGGCATAAGACCAGGGAGGAGCACTCGCAGCGGCTTTGAGGCAGCACCTGAGAAACATGCCATTTGTTCGCCATCCAGAAACACTGGATCTGGCAGGAGCAATCTAGTTGAGGAGCCAAACAAACAGGCGGTTTTTTCCCCATCTGGCAACACCGGACATGGCAGGAGCTTTCGCAATGGATTTGAGTTGCCGTTGCCCACGGGAGGGCACTGTCTCATCGCACACGCAGCAACAGCCTGTGAGGGCCGAGAAAGTCTGGCAGTAGAGGGACAAGGTGTATTTACGGCTGTTGGAATGGCAGAAAATGTAGCAGCTGCCTGTGCTACTGAAGTTGAAGGAGGAAAATGGGGTAGATTCAGAGGTACCCCTGTAGAGTCGTCTCCAAAGTCGAGTACACCCAGGCGGCCGTTTCGACGGTGTAGATCGCTCGGTGCAGGGATTGGGGAATTTAGGGTTGGAGGACGTGCGCGTGATTCCAGCGAGGCTTCTGCTTACAGTCACAGCCAGGTTGATAGCAAACAGTGTCACACCAGCAAGGATAATCGCGGTGGTACCTCCGTTCCCCACGACTGCTTTCCAGTGGCAGCACCACTGCCACCATTGCCCCTGCATGCTGCTGCTCCTTTCCCACAGACAGTTGCAGCTACTGTTTCTGAGGCACCTTGCTGGTTCCCACAGGCGGTTACTGCACCTCTGGTTGTGGAATCAACACCTGAAGAGGGTGTATCAGTAGCGCCAGTACCACCAGTTGTGGCTTGGGGATCGCGGGAGGCTGTAGCGACAGCGGTACATGTGGCGCCACGCGATTGGGTGGAGGATTCGTATTGCTTCCTGAAGGACGAGGATGGGGTAGTGGTCCCCTGTGCCCACGAGTTGAGTGACTATACTGGGTTTGATTGTTATGAGACTAAGCTCCAAGGAAGTGACTGTAACAGGAGTGACTGTATAGCAAGTGACTCCAAGGCTGTTCTGGTAAGGCATGAGCAGGAGTGCTTTTTGCCATGGCAGCATCAACAGCAGTAGCAGCATATGTCATTGTTTGGGGACCAGTTATGCTGATGTTGAGATGAGATAGAGAGACTAAAGGTGAATCAGACAGCAATTACGGGGAGCACTCATCGTCTCTTCAGGAACTTAGCTGTTAGGAGCAACATTAGCCTGTCTCTATTTGTCCATACTGCTGTGGCTAGAGTGCTTACCGTACAATGGTTCTGCTGTATAGAGGGAACACTGATTGACATGTTGCATAGATTTATGTTATTGATCACATGCAGGGCAATTTACCCTATTTCATGTCCTTCCCCTCCTGCGCTCCAATTCCTTGGGAACATCAAGCATTTTGGAATCCAGCGACGCGACTCGCACACTCTCTGCATCGTCTCCTGATCCAACAGCATTGTCTCCCGAACCGACAACATGGATGCAGCCGAGCCTTGAAATTTACATGGCGGTCGATGTAGGCTCGGCATGATGCCGCTATCTTTATACGATCGGAATCCTTTATAACTTTCAGAGATGGCCAGCATCAGATTTGCTGCCTGGCTTCACTCGGCAATCTCTAGGTTTGTCATAAGCTAGGATCCAACCGCCATGTCCCCATTGTTGAACCTGGTTTCGCCTCCGCTCACCGTCAATTCTTCTCTTCGCTCCGTCACTCCGTCACGAATTCCGACCAAAACAGTTATTATCCCGTCAGTACCGCACCATCGCTTGACGGATTCTCATGGTCACCAAATTCGCATCCACCGCGAACAAAGCGCTTCCAACCGCGAGCTCACCTGCTGCGCGCCGAGCGTGAAGGTCTCTCAGCCAGCTGCTGCGCATCGCTGTCGCGTGCAATGCCGCGCGAACCCACGGCAAAGAGGTCCTCAGACAAGGAGAATAGCAGGCCTGAGCGAACGAGCTAGTCCGACGGTGTCAGCGCCCGCTACCGGCAAGCCCAAAGGTTTCGGCGGATCCACTAGCCGTGATCGGCGCCGCTGGGGCGGGCAAGATTCCACGGGGAGAAACTCGAGGTGTGATCCAGGAGACCAGGGTTCAAATCCTGCCATTGAGCTATTTTTTTCGCAAAACTCGTCGCAAGAGGTCGGGGGAGTAGAACCAGTAACCTCGGAGGATTGTTCAAGCTTAGAGTCGGTTTCAGGGGAACCGTTTCCGTGCTTAGGGTCGGCGGTAGCGCCTGAACCGCAAGGAGGAAACCCCTCAGCAGTTTCTGCAGCCAGCAATGGAGCTGTGAGTATCGGCAATCGTGAAAGCCGCAGCACGCGCGCGAACTGCAGTGGTCGCAGTGTTAGCCACCGAACGCGCGATATCATCGAGGTTGGCGCAGGGGCGATCAGACATCAGACGAGGCGCCAGGATGTGGGATCGTTGGCAAATACGGGTCACGTGTTGAGTGCAGCTTCCGCGTCTCCCACTTCATCTTCCGCCGCTCCCCCTTCAGCTTCCGCCATTCGCGCTTCACCTTCCGCATCCTGCGCTTCAATTTCCGCCAGTCCCACTTCAGCTTCCGCCACCCACGCCTCACCTTCCGCTGGCAGCGTGCCTGGCGACATAGGCTTCCGCCCCTTGCGCACTGGTCTGGGCGGCCGCAAGCGCATGTCTCGAACAGTGACCAATCGGGTGGCGAGAGCCGTGCACGTGCTGCTATTGGCTGCTAGATCTGACAGCCGATCTGACGGGCGGGGGAGAGCGCTGCTGGTTGAACTTCGCAGACTGAAGAAGCTTCCTGCGGGTTTCCTGCGATCTATTGCTGAGGAGCTGTGGCGCCTGCAGGAGTTTGAACTCGCAGCAGATGTGAGCTAATAAGGAAAGGAGGACTTGCACCTTTCTGGCCTTCTTTTTGCTTTGTTTTGTTCTGTTTTTGTTTTTCCTTTCTTTCTTCCCATTCTTGAAATTTCAAAGGTTTGAAAGGTTGACGTAGTAATAGCAGAATTATGTGATGCTGCTGTGTCTCGAGGTCCGTCACTCACTCCAACCTGCCACCTGCTGTTGAGAATTCTCAAAGGCCTCACGTCATTCACCCCTCTCTCCCCCGTCTCTTTTTCCCTCCTCTTCCCCCCCCTCCCCCCTCCCTCCCTCCCCCCCCTCCCCCTCCTTTTCCTCTCCTTTTCCAGGTCCTTGAGTCGGTCCCACCAGCCACCTGCCCTGATAACAAGCGGCCAGATTCATCAGATTCTTCAGATGCATCAGATTCTGAGGATTGTCAAGAGTCTGACGATTCTGAAGAGTCTGAAGAATCGGAAGGTTCTGATTTTCCTGCTCGCGGTGGCAGCAGCCCTGAGAGCGAGATGACACATCAGCAGAGGACATGTGGCAGCCAGAAGTGGACAGGTGGCGCACTGCGATTGCATGCCCGTGTGGCAGCGGGGCTGGTGGCAGCGAATCAGGTGGAGAGGGGAGTGCAGCTGATTGGTCAGATGCCGCGAGTGCATACACAGGTCACTAATTCAAACACAAAGCAGCAAGGGGTGAAACTTCAGGCTACTGATGCAGGCACCAAGAACATAAGAAGCACAGAACTCACAGCAGAAGTTCCAGCAGGGCAGTCTGTTTTTCCTGGCTGCATCACACAGCCACTGGCCTGTGGGAAGGCTGTATCTCTCCCCATACTGGGCAGACTTCCCGTGCCCCTGTCGCCTGCACCGCCACTCTGGAGCGCTCTCTTGTCTCAGCAGTTCATTCCTTCAAACCAGCAGTTCATTCCTTCAAACCAGCTGACAGCAGCAGAAAGACAGGCCGCACCACAGCAACAGACAGCAGCAGAGCAACCAGCTGCAGTAGCAGAGCAACGTCTCTCACCCACCAGCATCTCTTCTCATTCCTCTCACCCCTCCCACACAATCACCGTTCCCGCTCGCCCCCTCTCCTATGCTTCGGGCTGTGCTCTGATAGAGGCGTTTGGCGAGGTGGGGGTGGCGGACGGGGCGGTTGGGATTCTTGAGGAACCTCAAAATTCGTGTCGCCCCCTCTCCTATGCCTCAGGCTGTGCTCTGATAGAGGCGTTCGGAGAGGTGGGAGTGGTGGACGGGGCGGTTGCCATGCTGCTGTGTATGATGGCATGCCCTGTGGTGGCGGGGTGGGATGAACCTACCTCGGGGTGGGATGAACCTTCCTTGGGTTGTGAGAGCAGGATCCCAACCCGGGCTTTAAAGAGGGAGGCACATGCGGTGTTGCTGCTTGCAGCCGCCCTCGCCCGCTGCAGTCGCCCCGACGATGCCCTCGCGCTGCTGCGCTTCGTGCTCCAATCAGGAGCTGCCACGTGGCGGGGTGGGAGGGGCCAGGTGGCAGTGGAGGCGAGGGAGGTGGTAGAGGTGGTGATGGTGGCACTGGCGAGGGAGAAGCGGTGGCGGGAGATGGAGGAGGTTGGAGCGGAGATGGAGGAATTGGTGGGGGAGATGAGCAGTCTGAGAAGACCAACTGCACCAGCAGCGCCAGCAGTAGCACAAGCAGCAGCGCCAACTCCAGCCGCAGGAGAAGCAGCAGAAGCAGGACCAGGAGAATCACAAGCAGCAGCAGCAGCAATATCAGTTGCAGGCAGAGGAGGAGGGGGGGGAAGAGGTGCGGGTGAGTGGAGGAGAAGGGAGCTGCTTCTGCGAGCTTCATGGGGGAGAGGGCAGTGGCAGCAGGTCGCGTCCATGCTCCATCACATGGCTGCTGACGTGTCACCTTCTGCTGACGTGGCATACAGCAACAGGTCAGTGGCACCAGAGCCAGCTGTGCAATCCCCACCACCAGCAACCACTGTGAACCTGGCAGCGCGCCTTCTGGGTGCCGCTGTCGTCCCAATGCTGCCTCCAGCTGTCGTCCCACAGCTCCTGCCAGCTGTCGTCCCACGGTTGGCTGAGGTCCCGCGGGCGGCACCACAGGCAGCAGCCCGGGCGGCGGCTCGGGTGGCAGCACAGCTGGCAGGAAGTGCATCAAGTGCAGAAGCAGAAGTTGGGAGCTTTGCGGGATTCAGAATCGTCCTCAACCTTCCCCAAACACGTTCCGAATCACCGCCGGACCTACCCCAGCAGCAGCAGCAGCAGTTGCCAGCACTCTCAGGCGAGGACAGCCGAGCACTGGTTCGTGCTTTCACTGCCCTGCTCCGGCGCTACATGGCTGCGGTTACCAGCAGAAATGGTGCGAGTGCAACTGACAGTGTTGAGCTGCAGCTTGATCTGCATGGGTTGCACTCTGAAGCTGCTGCTGTGGTGCTGCTGGCCTGGCTCGTCATGAGGCAGTGCGAGGGAACAGTGCATGAGACAGCGGGAGGGGTTAGCAGCAGTGGTTTGGAGGCCGCAGGGAGTGGCATCGACTCGACGGGCTTAGATTTGCTCTGTGGGGCTGCACGAGATGTGGGGAATGGGGGGCGGAGACTGGAATGGAATCAAGGAGATGGTACTATGAGCGCGCGGAATTTGTCGGGTAGAGTTTCCATTGTGACTGGATGGGGGAAGCATAGTCGGAAGCAAGGAGCTTCGGCGGTGAGGAGTCAGGTGGAGCAGTTTTTGGTTGACATGAATTCTCCTTTTAGGGTAGACAGAGGCAATAAAGGTCAGCTGGTTGCGAGGTTCAGTTCTTTCACAAATTGGATGAATGCTCATATGGTTTTGCCATGTAAGTTTGAAGAATAGATTTCAGTCCACATCCTTTCTTCCATTGCCTTGCAAGTGAATAACGGTTCTTTTAATACGCAACGCAATAACGTCCACTTGCATCGTGGGACAGCGTATTGACACGTCATTTTGAGGAGATTCAGCGTGGCAACGGGTGGAAAGTGGACCTGGCCGTTGGTTTTTGTGCGACAATGCTGCAAGGGAAGGGCGGTTTCAATTTTACCAACGATCTTTTTGGTGCCTCTCAATCATGATGGTTGCGGTTGGCTCGCTAATCAGCACAGTGGAACCGGGTCTCTTGCAGGGATTTCACAAATTGTCATGTCGTCTTACAGTCGGTGCTTAGGGATTGTGCGGTCTTTGCGCCTCTCAAGCTACCCGGGTTTACAGCATCTGATGGTCGGGCAGAATTCGAGAATAAGAGTGTACAGTACATATGCGGATTGCACGTGGATTGATTCGATCCGACAAAACTGTTCACGCTCAAAATCCCTTCTGGTTCCCCGCCCCGACAAGAACGATGCTCCCAGGATCATGACCTTCGGGAAACTCTCCTCCTTCGCTGCAAGCAGAATTGCATCGAAGCAGTCCGTTTCGGATTTCGTCGACATCTGACCGTCCGTTGCTAACTGTTTGCAAACTCGTCCTGAAATCTCCCCTGGCGCTGCGGACATTTTTCCTTCCGCACCCCTCTTCTCGTTCCCTTCACTGAGGAGGGCCCTCACTCGTTCCCCTTCCCACTCTCCCCCGCCCTCTATTGCGCTCTCTCGCGCGCGCGGAGCAGCAATCGAGTTTCTCTCCCACGTTTCTCCGCACCGCAAGCATCCTCCGCCCCCCTCTCCCCCCTCCCTTTTCTCCTCCCTTCCCGTGTTCCCCGCAAATACAGTATCTCTCCCCTCCCCACGCAATGCCGGGGCAGATTGCCGCAAATTTCGAGGCAATTCAAACAAAGCTGGACAAATCTCAAGGCAAGGCAGAACCAAGGCGATCAATAGCTTCTTCCACACGTATCGGTTGTGGCTGCTGCTGGACAAAAAATCGCACGGGCGGAGGAGCTGACAGATCGATCGTTCCCCTATTCTTCAGTCTCGCAGTGTCTGTTCGGTGGCCTGAAAGCTCTTCCCAAGGCTGCTCTTGCATCTCTCCAAATCATCCTCATTTGCTTCGTGAATAGTTGACCTTGCTGTCCCACCTACACCTGCTGGCGTTTTCGGCGTTGCGCTCGACTTCCGCTGGTGGTGTGCCTTTATTAATTAAATATGTGCAAGTCTAGCGGACTCAGGTGCGGCATACGCTCGTCAACTATTCTATACTTCGCTTCGATATTGTCGTGAGTCGGGATGCCGTCAAACGGCGGTCCGTGCATTGTCGACGGCTTCTCCGCGCCCTTCACGCCGTGTGACCGAACCGCGAATCGCTCTCCGTTTCACTTCGTCCCGACTCCCTCTCCCCATCCCAGCCCTCTCTCGGTAGAGCACCTGCCGAACCGCTCGTCATTGTCGCCTGAAAAGACTGGATTAAGGTCCGCCGCACGAACGACCGCCGCGGTGCGAGGGACCGCGCAAGAAAGCGCACGCGGAGCCGCCTCGCAATCCGGCACGTGCGCGGTAAACCCCTTGCGCCCTTCCGCAGCGGGGAGAGGTTTTGCAACGGCGTCCGCGGCAACGCCGGGGACAAGCGCCATGGCGGAGACGTGCACGCGGAGTGTCCGGGCGAGTTCAGCGCCGATTGCGGAGCTGCTGCATCTCCCGCTGCTGTCGCAGTCGTGGTCGCTGGAGGAAGATCGCGAGCTAGAGCGAGTATTGGCGAGGTTCGCAAAATTCGCTCGCGAAATGCTATCCCGCACACTTTTACGCCCACCAGACTCCTCTTTTGTCGCGAAAAGGAGACATTTGGTATCCCAACGCTCCTTTCTGCATATCCTTTCCAACATCTCACGCAGGCCGGTTCCCCCGTTCCCCCTTTCCCCGTAATCTGCTCAGCCCCTCCCTCAAGTGCCCCATTCCCAAGTGGTCATTTTAATATACTCACCCTTTCGCCCGTGGCTTTCCTCTCTGCCTTCCTTTCGATCCACTCCCTACCAAACCAGGCATGCGGATAGCAAGCTATCTCCGTTACAGAGGTACCTGCTAGTGGCCGCGTGTCTGCCGAGCAAGACCGCTAGAGACGTGGCGATTCGCTGCAGATGGCGCGACAAGGTATAATCCCAAGATCCGCAACACTAGTACTACAAACCCCATTCGGTCAAGACGCAAACGCCTTTGAAACCGGTAAAACGCGTCGTAGAGATCGCATTGCGCGGCAAAAACCTACACAAGCCCCTTGGGAGAAGGCACAGCCGCCGGCATTGCATTTGTCGTTAATGACGACGCGTTCTCACGTTTCTATCGAGTCGCGTGCTGCAAGAGGGATTGTGGATTGCGACGCGACAAATCTCTAGGCTTAGAAACTGACGGATGCAGATTAAACTCCCGGGACATAGTGCTCGTAGTTTTGTCGTAGTTCAATCATGCTCAAAAGAGGGGCTACATGCGCAAATCAACCTCCCTCGTTTCCCTTCCCGCATGCGCGCAGTGATCCTTTCCCGTCCCTCGTTTCGCGCATCTCCGCTCGCCCCCTCCCCAGGCTCCAGAGCTGCACAAGCGGAAGCTCGGACGCCCTTTACGCTTCCCCTCACCTCTCCCCCCTTCCGCTCTTCCCCCTCCGCCCGCCCCCTCGCTCCCCCCTCCGCAGGCTCGAGAGCAGCACAAGCGGAAGCTCGGAAGCCCACAGGCCACTTCCCCGCGGAAGAAGGCATCGCGCAGCACAGACACGCGCGGAGCAGCAGCAGCGGACGCAGCGCATAACGAGGCAGCGCAGGCAGCGCATAACGAGGCAGCGCAGGCAGCGCATAACGAGGCAGTCAATGAGGAGGACAGGCTGCTGGCGCAAGGCCTGGGCGAATCGCCGCCAGTGAAAGCAGAGGACGGTGTTGGAGGGAGCGGGGAGGAAGGGGGCGGGTGGGGGGATGGGGGCGTGAGGGGGGATGGGGATGCTGGTGTGGGCGCGAGTGGTGCGCCAGCCAGTGAGTTCTGTGATGCGCTCTCAATGACGCTTGACTGCTTGCTAGGCACTAATACGCCTGCTGCCCCTGCTGCTCCTGCGCCGGCAGCCGTGGCTCCTGCTGCTGCCACTGCTGATGGTGCTGCTTCTGCTACAGCGTATTTGGCTTCTTTAGAGGGCACGGCCCTTGGAACGGACAACATGAGTGGTGGCTTGAGTGTTGGTGCTGGTTGCGACAAGAAGGATGCTGCTGCTGCTACCGGTGCTGCTGATGCCGCCAATGCCGCAGATGTCACTTTCCTGATTCCGCAACTGGAACCACAACAGGACGGGGGGCAGCAGGGGGTGCAGCAACAGGGCGTGCAGCAGGGGGTGCAGCCAGGGATGCAGGCTCATAAATCAAAGCAGAAATCAAAAGCACGTGGAGCACTTCACAATAGAGGGGTTAAAGCCCCATTCCTGTCGCATCCATCCCTGGCTGCACAAGGGTCATTTGAATCTCCCGGCTCGTCAGTGTCGCCCACGTCAGTGCTCACAGCCATGGCATCACCACCAGTAGCCATGCGGCCGTCGTCCCCTTTGTTGTCATCTGTGGTACCGTGGAGTGTGCCGGTGGAGCAGGAGGCACGGCTGGCGCATAGCACTGTTCTCATCGAGAAGATCAAAGAGGCTCTGCGATTGCAAAAGGTGTGAAAATTTATCACCCGTGTGTGTGTGTGTGTTTTTTTTTCCTCCCCTATTTTTTCCAGTCTTGCCGCTCTGCCATGATGCCTGTCATATACCATGCTTTGCCATAAACATAGCTCTGCATGCACCATACTATGCTGTATACCATACTACGCTGTGCTGCATGACATGCTTGCATAAAACGGCAGCATAACAACAATAGGGGTCCACGCTTGTGTGCTGTTGTTGCTTGTGCTCGCAGTTACACGACTCCAGCCACATGTTGCAGCAGCTGAAGCGCAATCTAGTATTGTCAGTGGAAAGGTGAGCTGTGCGGCGGGATTAGGAACAGGTGTACCGTCCACATGTTGCTTCCATTGTTTGCCACCAGCTTTTATGAAATTCGTGGGGTATGAGTTATGATGATTGCCCAATTTTCCCAGTTGTCCCCATGCCCCTTGCTGTTGTTGTTCCTGCTTGCAGCTTGCCATCCTTTCCAGGAATAAGCACCAAAATGCCGCCTCTCCCACTTCGACCAAACCTTCAGCTTGCAACCCAGATCCTTCCAATACGTTGAGCAACGTAGTAAAGCACCAGCCATTTTTTTGCTCAGAAAGGCAACAGGAGCAGCAAGGTAGAACGGTGGAATATATATGTAATATGTATTGGTCCGAAATAAGTGAAGAACAGCATAATGCTGTTTTCCCTCGTTTCAAAAGAAGTGCTGAAGCTGGTCACTGACAGCAAAATGAATCAATTTCTACATCGTATACGAGTGTGACGTGTAAATTCGTGGATCTTACAAGCGTGGATAGTTTTTATGACGTGGAAAGCTCCAAGTGGACCAGTACTAAGAGATCTGGAAAGCCACTGGCAACACCAGCACGAAAACCTCAGAACAGCGACTCTGTAAAAGGGTTCAATTTGGTGTTCGCTAGGCGGAAAACGTTGAAATGCGGTACAGTATGGTCAAGTGAGGGTCAACCGTTTTGTCAAGCGCCCAAGGTAATGGTTTGGAATTGCAATTGTGATAACGCATTTGGATTGACAGGAGGAGAGTGAAGAGGAGGTTGTGGATGCGGCAGGAAATATATTCGGGGGGCGCGAAAGCATCAGTACGCGCGAGAGGAGTAACTTCATTCCGCAGGTGCTGACGAGGGGGCCTGCCTGCCTGCAACCTGTTGCATCTCAGAGCTGCCATTCTCGTTGGGCTCCGGAAAGTACACGGAAAGTACACGAACCTCGAATTACACTCTGCGCGCGAATTCGCAAGCATGGCGGCGGCGAGCCGTTCTTCCGCAGAAATTCGCCGTCGGCTGGGGCAGCGGATAGTCTCCCCGCGTGTTGCGGCGCTCGGCGCCGCGCTGTGGCCGCGTGTGTCGCTCCGCGTCCGCGTCTCCGTATGGGTGTTCGCGTGGGCGTGCGCGTGCGCGCTGCTGCTTTCCTCTGCTCGGCGCGCAGCGGCTTGGGAGTGCACCAACATCCCATCACAGCCGCACGAGTTTTTCAACAGGTATCGCTGATTTAGGTCGGAAACATCTCGTTTCGATCCGTGTTTTTCAAACCGACTGAAGAATTTGCTCGGCGCGCAACGGTGTGGGAATGCACCAACATCCCGTTCGCAGCCGCTCGAGTTCTTCAGCAGGTACTAGGGCCGTTATTGGTACTACCACACCCCTCTTCTCTCCCGCACTCCCCCGCACTCATTCATGCTCCCCCGTCCTTTCCCCTTCTCCCCCTTCCCTCTTCCTTTCCCCCCTGTTCCCCCTCGCCCCTCCCCCGAGTCCCTCTTTGCGTGCGCACCTCCGCGTGCTGAGCCACCACGCGGACAGCCACATAATCCCCCGCCACTTTCCCGCGTCCTTCCCCTCTTCCTCGCCTCCCCTTTCCCTCCTTTCCCCCGCCCTCTCCTCCCAGTCCCTCCGTGCGCGAGCACCTCCGCGTGCTGAGCCACCACGCGGACAGCCGCGCAGCCGCGGACGCGCTGGCGGGGAGAACCTCCCGTCCCTCCGCGGACGCTGCAGACACTGCGGGCGCTGCGGACGCGGGGGGAAACGGGGGAAGCGGAAAGCGGCGAGCCATGCGGGAGTGGGTGAGAGAGGGGGTGAGGGCGAGGGCGAGGGCGGGTGGGAGTGTGTGTGGGCAGGGTTGTGGTTGAATTCTCCCCGGGACCTTGTCCATCCATAGCAGCGTGCAAATTCCAATGGTCCAGCTGGGTGAGGGCGGGTGAGAGAGGAAGGTGCAAATTCCTCCCTTGGAATTTGAGCAAGGGCGGGTGAGCAAGGGCGGGTGAGCAAGGGCGGGTGAGCAAGGGCGGGTGAGCAAGGGCGGGTGAGCAAGGGCGGGTGAGCAAAGGCGGGTGAGCAAAGGCGGGTGAGCAAGGGCGGGTGAGCAAGGGCGGGTGAGCAAGGGCGGGTGAGCAAGGGCGGGTGAGCAAGGGCGGGTGAGCAAGGGCGGGTGAGCAAGGGCGGGTGAGCAAGGGCGGGTGAGCAAGGGCGGGTGAGCAAGGGCGGGTGAGCAAAGGCGGGTGAGCAAAGGCGGGTGAGCAAGGGCGGGTGAGCAAGGGCGGGTGAGCAAGGGCGGGTGAGCAAGGGCGGGTGAGCAAGGGCGGGTGAGCAAAGGCGGGTGAGCAAGGGCGGGTGAGCAAGGGCGGGTGAGCAAGGGCGGGTGAGCAAGGGCGGGTGAGCAAGGGCGGGTGAGCAAAGGCGGGTGAGCAAGGGCGGGTGAGCAAGGGCGGGTGAGCAAGGGCGGGTGAGCAAGGGCGGGTGAGCAAAGGCACTGATGAAGGTTCGCAAGAACCGAAACTAGTTTACGCAAGTTCTGGATTAAGTTGACGTTTTGTTTAAACTGGCTCTCTAATACAACGCTCTAAGCTCACAGTTAACCGGGAAATTTCATCCATTCCATGGGGTTTGTCTCGTCGTTCTTATAACCATACGAGTTGATGGAAGTAAGACCTCCGCAGCCCACCTGTCTGCGTCTGACAGCTCCTGCACCCCGTCCCCCCATTACCTTTTCCGCAAGGGCGGGTGAGCAAAGGCACCCCGTCCCCCCATTACCTTTTCCGCAAGGGCGGGTGAGCAAAGGCACCCCGTCCCCCCATTACCTTTTCCGCAAGGGCGGGTGAGCAAAGGCACCCCGTCCCCCCATTACCTTTTCCGCAAGGGCGGGTGAGCAAAGGCACCCCGTCCCCCCATTACCTTTTCCGCAAGGGCGGGTGAGCAAAGGCACCCCGTCCCCCCATTACCTTTTCCGCAAGGGCGGGTGAGCAAAGGCACCCCGTCCCCCCATTACCTTTTCCGCAAGGGCGGGTGAGCAAAGGCACCCCGTCCCCCCATTACCTTTTCCGCAAGGGCGGGTGAGCAAAGGCACCCCGTCCCCCCATTACCTTTTCCGCAAGGGCGGGTGAGCAAAGGCACCCCGTCCCCCCATTACCTTTTCCGCCCTTCTCTTTCTCCCCCCCTGGCAGCACCCGCACTTCCTCTCGCCCCTGCCGCTGCATGCCGTCCGCCTTTCGCCGGCCACGCGTCAGTTTGCCGCCCAGAGCACCAACCTCGAGTACCTCCTGACGCTCGACGCCGACCGCCTGCTGTGGTCGTTCCGGCGGACGGCAGGGGAGGAGGAACCAATAGGGAGGCCGTACGGAGGATGGGAGAGCCCTAACAGTGAACTGAGGGGGCACTTTGTGGGTGAGTGCGGGATGAGTGAAGGGAGGAGGTGCGCAAACGGGTGATACTAATCGCCTGCTGTGGTCGTTCCGGCGGACGGCGGGAGAGGAGGAACCAATAGGGAAGCCTTATGGGGGATGGGAGAACCCCAAGAGCGAACTCAGGGGGCATTTCGTGGGTGAGTGGGGGGGAAGGGGGGTTGAGAGAGGGCTGAGTGTGTGAGTGAGTGATTGAGTGGCGGAGTGGGGGAGTGGCGGAGGCCGATGGGGGGTGGGAGAACCCAAAAGCGAACCGCGGGGGCACTTCGTTGGTGAGTGAGGGAGGAGTGAGGAAGTGAGGGGTTGGTGGAGTGAGAGTGAGGGTGAGGGGGGAGTGAGAGACGTTACTCATAACTACTCCCGTGATTTTTCTCGTGAAGTCTTAACCTTTCCTCTTCTAATCATCGAGGCCACTAGTGAGTGCATCAACCCTCAAGGCATCAACAGGCAACACAACCCTTAAAGCCCGCATGGAGTATCTGGTGGGGGGGTCAGCTACACACGTGTTGGCAGATTGCAGAAAGTGACATGAAACGGACTGCATCCCTTTGTCTTCCCTCTCTTCCTTTCGCCCTCCACGCCTCCTTTCGCTTTCCTCTTAACCATCCAGGCCACTACCTGAGCGCATCGGCCCTGGCGTGGACGTCAACGGGAAACACAACCCTTAAAGCCCGCATGGACTATGTGGTGGGCGAGCTGGACACGTGTGCCAGCAGACCGCATTGCATGACATGAACCAAAGTGTACCCCTTGTCTCCCCTCTATTCTTCCATCACCTCTCCTCTCCTCACATGGTCCAGGCCACTACCTGAGTGCATCGGCCCTGGCGTGGGCATCCACGGGCAACACAACCCTTAAAGCCCCCATGGACTATGTGGTGGGCGAGCTGGACACGTGTCAGCAGTCGCAGGGAATGACATGAACCGGACTGTACCCCTTGGTCTTCCCTCTTCCCTTCTCCCTTGACCTTCTCCCTTCTCCTACCCCCTGACCTCTCCTTTACTCGTCCAGGGCACTACCTGAGTGCATCAGCCCTGGCGTGGGCAGCAACGGGCAACACAACCCTTAAAGCCCGCATGGAGTACCTGGTGGGCGAGCTGGACACATGTCAGCAGCTTGTGGGGTGTATGAACAAGAATTTACCCCTTTCTCTTCCCTCTTTCCTTCTCCCTTGGCCTCTCCTCTCTTCTCCTCCCTTGACCATCCAGGCCACTACCTCAGCGCATCAGCCCTGGCGTGGGCGTCAACGGGCAGCACAACCCTTAAAGCCCGCATGGAGTACATGGTGGGCGAGTTGGGCACGTGTCAGCAGCGCATTGGCTCGGGGTACCTCTCTGCCTTCCCTGAGGAGTTCTTCGACCGAGTGGAGGCCATCCAGCCCGTGTGGGCGCCCTACTATACTGTTCACAAGGTGGGGAGGGGGAGGGGGAGGGGAAGGGAGACGAAGGAGAAGGGGAAGAGGGGAAACAAAGGGGGGGGGAAAGGGAGAGGTAGGCTCAGGGTACCTCTCCGCGTTCCCCGAGGAGTTCTTTGACCGTGTGGAGGCCATCGAGCCCGTGTGGGCGCCCTGCTACACCGTGCATAAGGTGGGAGAAGAGCATAAGGTTAGAGAGCCTGGGGGAAAGGACCGTACGTACTAAGTGTAACGACTGCATGCCTGTACCTACTGAAGTGATCCAATGCAAAGGACCGTTTGGGGGAAAGGCAGAAAGGGAGGGGCAATAGCCCCCCCTCCCCCTCCCTCCCCCCCCACCTCGTCTCTTCCCTTTCCCCTCCCACCTCCTCTCTCCCCTCTCCTCCCCCAACAGATCATGGCGGGCCTGCTAGACCAGTACCAGCTGGCAGCAACCACCACAGACTCACCGACTCACTCCGCCCTCCTCTCACTCCCTCGCTCTCTGCCCCCAACCTCTTCCACCACTCTTTCCCCTCTTCAGATCATGGCCGGCCTGTTGGACCAGTACCAGCTGGGCGGCAGCCGGGCGGCGCTGCGCATGCTGACGTGGATGGCGGAGTACTTCCGGGGGCGCGTGCAGCGAGTCATCGAGCGGCACACGGTGGCACGCCATTGGCTGTCGCTCAACGAGGAGTTTGGCGGCATGAACGACTTACTCTACCGCCTCTATGCCATCACAGTGAGCAATGATGACTGTAATCAAGTTTTGAGGCGTCTCAAAACTAATCAGTTGCGTGACTGTAACGGATGGTGGCTGCAAGCTCTCACTGTTGCTCAACGAGGAGTCTGGCGGCATGAACGGCCTACTCTATCGCCTCTATGCCACCACGGTGAGTGTTGTGATTGTAGACGAGTGTGGCTCCAGGAAATCACCTGAAGCGTGCTGTGTGTGATTGTAAGTAGTCGGTGGTTAGGTTACTGTCACCAAGTCATTGAGCGCCACATGGTGGCACGCCATTGCCTGTCGCTCAACGAGGAGTTTGGCGGCATGAACGACCTGCTGTACCGCCCCTATGCCATCACTGTGAGTGTTGTATGCGATGGTGACTCTATGCACTCAATGTAAGGGGTGTCATCGGGCGCCACAAGGTGGCACGCCATTGGCCATTGGCTCTCGTTTCCTCCCAGCGCGCGCGCCACCCCCATCACCTAGAGTTGGCCCACCTCTTCGACAAGTCGTGCCACGCCAACACGCGCATCCCTCTCCCCACTTCCAACCCCTTCTCAAACCCTCCCAGCGTGACCCCAGCCACTTGGAGCTGGCCCACCTCTTCGACAAGCCGTGCTTCCTGGGTCCACTAGCGGTGGGGGCGGACGACCTGCCAGGGCTGCTCCCCACCTGACACCCCTCTCCCTACCCCCAACCCCCACGCCCTTCTCCCAGCGCGATCCCCACCACTTGGAGTTGGCTCATCTCTTCGACAAGCCGTGTTTCCTGGGCCCGTTAGCCTTGGGAGCGGATGACCTGCCGAGGCTGCACGCCAACACGCACATCCCCATCGCCATCGGCGCTCAGATGCGCTACGAGGCCACTGGGGACAGTTTATATCGGGTATGGATCGGATTTCAACGCATAATATGACCCTGTCCAGAACCGTAACCTCCCCCCTACTCAGTCATGAGTAGATGAGTGGATGCGCCATGAGTGGATGCGCCATGAGTGGATGCGCCATGAGTGGATGCGCCATGAGTGGATGCGCCATGAGTGGATGCGCCATGAGTGGATGCGCCATGAGTGGATGCGCCATGAGTGGATGCGCCATGAGTGGATGCGCCATGAGTGGATGCGCCATGAGTGGATGCGCCATGAGTGGATGCGCCATGAGTGGATGCGCCATGAGTGGATGCGCCATGAGTGGATGCGCCATGAGTGGATGCGCCATGAGTGGATGCGCCATGAGTGGATGCGCCATGAGTGGATGCGCCATGAGTGGATGCGCCATGAGTGGATGCGCCATGAGTGGATGCGCCATGAGTGGATGCGCCATGAGTGGATGCGCCATGAGTGGACGCGCCATGAGTGGACGCGCCATGAGTGGACGCGCCATGAGTGGACGCGCCATGAGTGGACGCGCCATGAGTGGACGCGCCATGAGTGGACGCGCCATGAGTGGACGCGCCATGAGTGGACGCGCCATGAGTGGACGCGCCATGAGTGGACGCGCCATGAGTGGACGCGCCATGAGTGGACGCGCCATGAGTGGACGCGCCATGAGTGGACGCGCCATGAGTGGACGCGCCATGAGTGGACGCGCCATGAGTGGACGCGCCATGAGTGGACGCGCCATGAGTGGACGCGCCATGAGTGGACGCGCCATGAGTGGACGCGCCATGAGTGGACGCGCCATGAGTGGACGCGCCATGAGTGGATGCGCCATGAGTGGATGCGCCATGAGTGGATGCGCCATGAGTGGATGCGCCATGAGTGGATGCGCCATGAGTGGATGCGCCATGAGTGGATGCGCCATGAGTGGATGCGCCATGAGTGGATGCGCCATGAGTGGATGCGCCATGAGTGGATGCGCCATGAGTGGATGCGCCATGAGTGGATGCGCCATGAGTGGATGCGCCATGAGTGGATGCGCCATGAGTGGATGCGCCATGAGTGGATGCGCCATGAGTGGATGCGCCATGAGTGGATGCGCCATGAGTGGATGCGCCATGAGTGGATGCGCCATGAGTGGGATGCGCCATGAGTGGATGCGCCATGAGTGGATGCGCCATGAGTGGATGCGCCATGAGTGGATGCGCCATGAGTGGATGCGCCATGAGTGGATGCGCCATGAGTGGATGCGCCATGAGTGGATGCGCCATGAGTGGATGCGCCATGAGTGGATGCGCCATGAGTGGATGCGCCATGAGTGGATGCGCCATGAGTGGATGCGCCATGAGTGGATGCGCCATGAGTGGATGCGCCATGAGTGGATGCGCCATGAGTGGATGCGCCATGAGTGGATGCGCCATGAGTGGATGCGCCATGAGTGGATGCGCCATGAGTGGATGCGCCATGAGTGGATGCGCCATGAGTGGATGCGCCATGAGTGGATGCGCCATGAGTGGATGCGCCATGAGTGGATGCGCCCATGAGTGGATGCGCCATGAGTGGATGCGCCATGAGTGGATGCGCCATGAGTGGATGCGCCATGAGTGGATGCGCCATGAGTGGATGCGCCATGAGTGGATGCGCCATGAGTGGATGCGCCATGAGTGGATGCGCCATGAGTGGATGCGCCATGAGTGGATGCGCCATGAGTGGATGCGCCATGAGTGGATGCGCCATGAGTGGATGCGCCATGAGTGGATGCGCCATGAGTGGATGCGCCATGAGTGGATGCGCCATGAGTGGATGCGCCATGAGTGGATGCGCCATGAGTGGATGCGCCATGAGTGGATGCGCCATGAGTGGATGCGCCATGAGTGGATGCGCCATGAGTGGATGCGCCATGAGTGGATGCGCCATGAGTGGATGCGCCATGAGTGGATGCGCCATGAGTGGATGCGCCATGAGTGGATGCGCCATGAGTGGATGCGCCATGAGTGGATGCGCCATGAGTGGATGCGCCATGAGTGGATGCGCCATGAGTGGATGCGCCATGAGTGGATGCGCCATGAGTGGATGCGCCATGAGTGGATGCGCCATGAGTGGATGCGCCATGAGTGGATGCGCCATGAGTGGATGCGCCATGAGTGGATGCGCCATGAGTGGATGCGCCATGAGTGGATGCGCCATGAGTGGATGCGCCATGAGTGGATGCGCCCATGAGTGGATGCGCCATGAGTGGATGCGCCATGAGTGGATGCGCCATGAGTGGATGCGCCATGAGTGGATGCGCCATGAGTGGATGCGCCATGAGTGGATGCGCCATGAGTGGATGCGCCATGAGTGGATGCGCCATGAGTGGATGCGCCATGAGTGGATGCGCCATGAGTGGATGCGCCATGAGTGGATGCGCCATGAGTGGATGCGCCATGAGTGGATGCGCCATGAGTGGATGCGCCATGAGTGGATGCGCCATGAGTGGATGCGCCATGAGTGGATGCGCCATGAGTGGATGCGCCATGAGTGGATGCGCCATGAGTGGATGCGCCATGAGTGGATGCGCCATGAGTGGATGCGCCATGAGTGGATGCGCCATGAGTGGATGCGCCATGAGTGGATGCGCCATGAGTGGATGCGCCATGAGTGGATGCGCCATGAGTGGATGCGCCATGAGTGGATGCGCCATGAGTGGATGCGCCATGAGTGGATGCGCCATGAGTGGATGCGCCATGAGTGGATGCGCCATGAGTGGATGCGCCATGAGTGGATGCGCCATGAGTGGATGCGCCATGAGTGGATGCGCCATGAGTGGATGCGCCATGAGTGGATGCGCCATGAGTGGATGCGCCATGAGTGGATGCGCCATGAGTGGATGCGCCATGAGTGGATGCGCCATGAGTGGATGCGCCATGAGTGGATGCGCCATGAGTGGATGCGCCATGAGTGGATGCGCCATGAGTGGATGCGCCATGAGTGGATGCGCCATGAGTGGATGCGCCATGAGTGGATGCGCCATGAGTGGATGCGCCATGAGTGGATGCGCCATGAGTGGATGCGCCATGAGTGGATGCGCCATGAGTGGATGCGCCATGAGTGGATGCGCCATGAGTGGATGCGCCATGAGTGGATGCGCCATGAGTGGATGCGCCATGAGTGGATGCGCCATGAGTGGATGCGCCATGAGTGGATGCGCCATGAGTGGATGCGCCATGAGTGGATGCGCCATGAGTGGATGCGCCATGAGTGGATGCGCCATGAGTGGATGCGCCATGAGTGGATGCGCCATGAGTGGATGCGCCATGAGTGGATGCGCCATGAGTGGATGCGCCATGAGTGGATGCGCCATGAGTGGATGCGCCATGAGTGGATGCGCCATGAGTGGATGCGCCATGAGTGGATGCGCCATGAGTGGATGCGCCATGAGTGGATGCGCCATGAGTGGATGCGCCATGAGTGGATGCGCCATGAGTGGATGCGCCATGAGTGGATGCGCCATGAGTGGATGCGCCATGAGTGGATGCGCCATGAGTGGATGCGCCATGAGTGGATGCGCCATGAGTGGATGCGCCATGAGTGGATGCGCCATGAGTGGATGCGCCATGAGTGGATGCGCCATGAGTGGATGCGCCATGAGTGGATGCGCCATGAGTGGATGCGCCATGAGTGGATGCGCCATGAGTGGATGCGCCATGAGTGGATGCGCCATGAGTGGATGCGCCATGAGTGGATGCGCCATGAGTGGATGCGCCATGAGTGGATGCGCCATGAGTGGATGCGCCATGAGTGGATGCGCCATGAGTGGATGCGCCATGAGTGGATGCGCCATGAGTGGATGCGCCATGAGTGGATGCGCCATGAGTGGATGCGCCATGAGTGGATGCGCCATGAGTGGATGCGCCATGAGTGGATGCGCCATGAGTGGATGCGCCATGAGTGGATGCGCCATGAGTGGATGCGCCATGAGTGGATGCGCCATGAGTGGATGCGCCATGAGTGGATGCGCCATGAGTGGATGCGCCATGAGTGGATGCGCCATGAGTGGATGCGCCATGAGTGGATGCGCCATGAGTGGATGCGCCATGAGTGGATGCGCCATGAGTGGATGCGCCATGAGTGGATGCGCCATGAGTGGATGCGCCATGAGTGGATGCGCCATGAGTGGATGCGCCATGAGTGGATGCGCCATGAGTGGATGCGCCATGAGTGGATGCGCCATGAGGTGGATGCGCCATGAGTGGATGCGCCATGAGTGGATGCGCCATGAGTGGATGCGCCATGAGTGGATGCGCCATGAGTGGATGCCGCCATGAGTGGATGCGCCATGAGTGGATGCGCCATGAGTGGATGCGCCATGAGTGGATGCGCCATGAGTGGAATGCGCCATGAGTGGATGCGCCATGAGTGGATGCGCCATGAGTGGATGCGCCATGAGTGGATGCGCCATGAGTGGATGCGCCATGAGTGGATGCGCCATGAGTGGATGCGCCATGAGTGGATGCGCCATGAGTGGATGCGCCATGAGTGGATGCGCCATGAGTGGATGCGCCATGAGTGGATGCGCCATGAGTGGATGCGCCATGAGTGGATGCGCCATGAGTGGATGCGCCATGAGTGGATGCGCCATGAGTGGATGCGCCATGAGTGGATGCGCCATGAGTGGATGCGCCATGAGTGGATGCGCCATGAGTGGATGCGCCATGAGTGGATGCGCCATGAGTGGATGCGCCATGAGTGGATGCGCCATGAGTGGATGCGCCATGAGTGGATGCGCCATGAGTGGATGCGCCATGAGTGGATGCGCCATGAGTGGATGCGCCATGAGTGGATGCGCCATGAGTGGATGCGCCATGAGTGGATGCGCCATGAGTGGATGCGCCATGAGTGGATGCGCCATGAGTGGATGCGCCATGAGTGGATGCGCCATGAGTGGATGCGCCATGAGTGGATGCGCCATGAGTGGATGCGCCATGAGTGGATGCGCCATGAGTGGATGCGCCATGAGTGGATGCGCC